TCCCATGATTACTGTAAGCAGAATTCCTTTCTTCTTATCTGATCAAATTTGCCGATTTTCCCAGGAGAAACAACGCTTTATGTATAGCATTCTTTTCGTAGTCACAACATTCTAGTTCGCATAAAAAACAGTATCATCGCCAGCATTCGAATTACTCTGGTGGCAATTAGCAAGATCCACAGGGTCATTTTTCTTTTTATTTTTTTTCTCTATCATCTGCTTAAGTAAGAACTCATTAGAATCTATTCTCGGCTAATCTCCTCTCTTTTCTAGAATTCCTATGTAATTGTCGTATAATTCATAAATTTCTAATTTTCAAATGTTTAACCGCATTGCCGTGGCCAGCGTGCTGCACATGGTGAAGCACTCTTAGTGTGAACTCATTTAGCATTGTTAGATGACTGGAAAGAGTAGGTATATTCCTGAAGTCGTCAGGGACAAAATATGTGTGGGGGAAATTGCGAGATTGAATAATAGCTATGTTGCTAGCATTTTTCGAGTAATACCTCAACTATTACATTTTTTAATTAACTCTCCTTTACCAATAAAACCGAAATCCTGCTTAGTATACGACTGAAAAAATTGTAAAATGGTGTGAGTGAACAGCTTCTAAGCACAGCTGAGTCACTTTTTTCAAAATTCCTCTTAATTTTAAATCAAAGCTTCCTTTGGCTAGTTTCGCATTTTTTCGGACTTTACTTCTTTTATCAACGTATAACAATATTGAATCCCTTTAGCATACGTATACTTATAAAAGTGATGCATAATACGATGTGTGTGCAATATTTTTATGTTATATGTATAAGATAAAATCTTATGTTTTTATACTCAGCGCGCGCCAGAAATCGCGTCGCCGTCCAAAATACACTAGAGGTACCAACGGGTTAATTCCACAACTTGAGGTCATAAAGACTTCTACCCGAACGCTTGCGTGGCAGCAGGCAAAATTACACCTCTCCAAGGGTAGTCTGACACCCTAAAGGGTAAGCGTGTTCATGTAGCAAGCGACTGTAAGGTCTAAGTCGTGATGTTGTCATCGGGGAGAACTATCCCCGGAGAGGAAATCATAGCCAGATTCAGCAGGTGAGCTACCACCAAGAGAGATTTTTTCACGCTTCAGTGAGAAATGAATTCGTCATTATAGCGAGTTGTGGAACGCTGATTTTTTCTATACAAGATATGGGCTTGAAATTCTTCGAATAAGTAGAAATTGCAGAGCTAATTTCGTATCTGTCAATCCTTGGACATTCCTTAGCAGCAAAGTGTTGTAGATACTGGTAAACTAACGCTAAGGACATAGTTAATATTACTTATAAGGGTCCTCTTTGGGATCGCCATCCAAATCACCAAAAGAAAGATCTAGTGCAGACGCAGAAGTATATCACAGCTGTTTTCTGGCACCCAAGGCCAGCGACCCAGTGATGCAATGACCGAATGACGAGTGAAAGCGCCACCGAGGAACATCTGCATTTAAAAGTAAGTAATTGAAAGACAAGTTTGTGGAAAGAGGATTTTTAATCGACGTGGATTAAGCTGACTGTCGATGAATGCGGTGTTGAGCATCGGTAGAACCCTAAGAGTCCGCTCGAACAATGAGCCAGAGGTTACAGTGAAGCCACACTCGGGTAAACCAAATATAAGAGCGCTGAAGCAATGGTCGTTGCTGATTTCTGTTGCCTACTTTCCTTTGTTATTTTACTACTACTTTCCTACCTTTCAGTTCCTTTCCTTTACTACTTTTACTTTATTATTTTATTGCTTTAACATTTGATAAGAGCTCAAGAGGCTGGCTAGGAACGCTTTCGTGGCTAATTCCACGTTTTTTCTCTACTACTGTATAGCTAACACTACATGTACCGATGTTAAGATAGTGTGCACGAAGCAGGAGGCTGTTGCCCTTTTTGCTGTACAGAGGACACTCTTGGTGTAGTACAAGACACCTGCAGACAGTGCCAGACACCTGCGTAAAAGAAAATGCTCCAGAATAACTGACCTTGCCGTACTCCCGATGTACACTATCACACAATGACTCTGATGTGGAAACGATCAGCAGCAAATCGTGTGAACCCTGAAAGGCATTTTATAGGCAACTCAATTTTGCGTAAAGGAATACCTGACTCCTTCCCTGAGGCGAAAAAGGGGCGTCTCAACTAAGTAAGGTGTCAGCGATGTCCAGAGTACAGCAATCGTGACGTGGTGAAGGTGAATGGGTAGGTACGACCTCTTCCTGCTCCGAGGGGAGGTGTCAGTAGACCTCTCTCCCCCCTAAATGAGGGTCTCGGTGGCGACGGCCCTCCCCTTCCCACAACACCTACCCACCATTCCCGCACCACATTCAATCAGGTTTTTCACACCAAAAATTTCCCCCCCCCGAGCGGGAAGGAGGGGAGCGGAGGTGGGGAGGAGGGGGGGAAGGTGGTCCTCCCGAAACAGGAAAAAATGCACAGCAAAAATTCAACAACCGCAGACAAACGCGCGAGCAAATTTCTCTCTCAAAGGCACATACGACCCCCCTCCTCTGTCCCGACGGCCAAATACGATTCCCCCTACCCAGAAAAAAGTACGACCCCGCTATGTACTTCACACAACGATGCTGTACCCTGGCGATAGCTGCTGTGGCTAAGGTCTAAGCGGATGAGGGGCAGACACCTCCCCGTTGAATACACCTCAAGATTTGAAAGGCCCCCTGGTCGTTGTTTTAAAGGCACTTCCGGATGAATAAGGCTATGACCTTTCAAATGTGTCAGACGATCCGGAAGGAGATTGCGGAGGCTGCGCTACCTTTAGAAAGTGAAAATCGGCAAGAATTCCGCTTTAAGCTAACCAATTAGGCCCATGGGCGCCCCTTAGGCCCATGCCGACCCCCACACCGCTGCTAGCTACTAGCTAGTAGCCGACTAAGCTAGAACTTTAAGGGCGAGAACTAAACGAAAATCGATGAGATATCAGATAGCCAGACAGGAAGATCACTTGAAAAGCAATACTACTCCTTATTGTCTCTACTTAACAATATTTTGATAAAGCTTCTACAGGATTGTCTACGCACAGCACAGCTTAGTGGAACTATCCAATGGCGCTCAAGAACGCTCAAGGCAGGTCACCCTGTGACCCCGGGAATCGCCTCGTTACCAAATGTGAATCATTTCCCCATTTTGCAGCTTCACAGCAATTTACAGGTCTCACCATGGCGAAACCCGTGAGTCAAGACAAAAGGAACTTGCCAAAGCGCAAGATGCCCCACCCATGCAAGAACTTGAGGCCAGGGCACAGCATTGGTTGGGGAATCCCCATAGGGGGGGTCGTATTTGGCCGCCAGGAGAGGGGGGGGTCGTAATGAGTGCGGTAGCCAGTATCGAGCAGCGCAAAGGTGTCAGTGTGCTGAATCCTGTGTAGCGGAACTTGCTTCGTAGAGAACTCGGATATGTAAAAAATGAGTACAAAACTTTCATCCATCAAACTAATCCGAAATAATTGGAATTATTAATAAGTCGACAACATCTCGTAAGTGATTAAACACTACAACTCATACTCTGGTTTGCTGCGGATGATGGGGCGTGTCCGCGATCACGCTTGGCGCTGAGCCAACCTTTTTTTTTCTGACAAACGACAGGACTACCATATCGTTCGTACCAGACGTTTTCCAGCACTTGGTCTCCTTTATCGGAATCAGCAACTATCGGAGCACAGATCTGGCGGCGTCGACACGGACACGCTACATCATCCGCAAGGGAAAACACTGTAGACAAGTGCACAGGTTCGCCATGGACCTCCCTGAATCCTACAGACACATTTGCGCGCGTGGACACACATTATGCACAAGTTGCACCATCCCATCACTTCTGCGCGGACCTCAGTGCGCGGCGCATACAAAGTCAGCGTGATCGGCGCTTAAACGAACCATATCCTGCTCCTGCTCCACCACAGGATACGTTCTACATGCGTTCCTGGCTATTCGAACACGCTCACTTGAAACGGTACACAGGAAACGGGTTTTTCGCGCAGCTGGGAGTGCTCCCTCAAGAAATCCCCATCGCGAGATCTCATGAATCCCGAGAGCTTCAGGAAACAGTTCAATAGGTTTTTAGAAAGAGAAAATCTTGAGAAGCTCGGATCCGTTCTCAGATTTGTGAAATGTTGAGTTACAAAAAAATATATTGATTCAAACCTGTTCAACTTGAACTTCAACCCTTCACTCCCCAACGAATCCCTATGGCAGCTTTCTCTGTGATTTTCGCGACCTTCATAAACATTTTAGTACTTTCAGGAAGACCAAACCTTCTAATTTACCAATACGCTCTCCTCTTCCCCACAGGTCCGCTTTTGAGGAAGTTATGGTCCTTCAAAGACACCCTACTTTGCTGAAAATTCTCGCTCCATGGCTAATAGCCGTTTGCTCCAGTCACGGCTGCAATTACGTACGCATCTCTGCTACCGTACTCCACATCTCGGGGTTAATGCATTTTAGGCGTATTTCTTTTTTGTTTTCTTTTTCTGTTATACCGCTTTTTGTTTTTTGGTTTTAATCATAGTCTCATTTAACTCGCATTTATGCTGTGTATGCTACTCATCGTGTTTTTGATCACAAACGCTTGTACATAAGTAAATCAAGTCAATTTAGGTAGGACTGTTTATATCTATTTTTTATATCTAATTGTTTATATCTAATTTCAGGAAGTATGTAACGTCAAACAGTAAAAAGGGGGGGTCGTACCGAACCCCCAAAAAGGGGGGGGGTCGTACAGGCTCGACCAAAATCCCCATCGAATGCTGTGCCCTGAACAGGTCCGTTTGTTCAGCTGCTGACTCCTACTAACTTACGCTACGTAACGCGCGAATTCTTGAATGAAATCGAGGAACGCGCCTTCAATCATTAAACCAAATTGGAAATATTGAACTATGTTTTTTTCTATACTTGTTGTGAGCTGCTTTATCATCGCAGAAGCCAATAGCTGATACTGTGAGGTAAATATGTCGCTTCATAAGTCTGGAACAGACCAAAGTTAAAGGCAAACCTTGAAAATAGCCAAATTGCACAGCCAGTTTAGTGTCAGCTTCTCGAATGCCCCATTCACTACAGTAAAATAGATGAGGTGCTTCGAACTTGACATCGAATTCGCTTCCGCAGTGGAAAATTCTGAAAAGAGGTATAAAAGCAGTCACAAAAGAAGCAGGGGGGGGGGGGGGGGCAGTTTGTCCAGACGAGGGGGGGGGGGGGGCATTCTGCTTCCATAGATGTACTGCCGACCCATCTAGGTAGACTTTTCTCGAGTTGACACGTTTAGGATGGTGGCTAGACGATCTTGCACCAGCTTACAAAGTCACAGTTTAACCCAAGGGTGAGAATTTTGTAAACCAGGAAGCAGTGGTAGTACAACTGCCCCCCCCACGTTTTGACAAACAGTACCAGAAGGCCAGGTTACATGAAGAGATAGGATCCAAAAAGGTAGTTTGTAAACGTATTTTCTGACGTACGTGAAAGAGGCGGAGTTTTCAGTGCAAAAGTGCACGCTTACCACGGCGCACGTTTTGGTAACATCATATATCGGATCGGCTTATCGTCTAGACCAACCACGCCTGTCTTCTTCCAGGGCGAGAAAACGACAAATTCTTAACCAGATTTCTCTGGAGGTTAAGCTGATAAGTACATCGTTGGCCACTCGCAAAGCATTGTAATAAGCCGCATTTTGCATTCAAGTAAGCCACTACGTTTCCTGAATGGAAGTGGAATAGCGTGCGTCTCCCAACGACAAAGATTTCTTCATTCTTTTTTTACCTTTCTTACATGAAATACTCTGTGCAATCCATTTTTTTTTTTTTTTTTTCTTTTGTGACCTTGTATTTCGAGTTGGGCTCAACTTTGAAGAGATAGTGTCTATTTTCGTTGGCTTTTCTTTGCTAAATGTCTTGCGCTGCAACGAGGACTAGTCTTCTGGATTCCTCATTTCGGTAACTCTTGTACGGTGTCGTGATGTATTCAATGGCCGTTACAAAGTCGGGAACTCGACTCGGATTACAAGAGAGGAAACTGGAGAAACCAAGAAACTAGCAAACTATCTGTACCCCTAGAGCCCTTGTTCCAGTTGTTACGGGTGATTCTTCACTGCCTTACAGTGATGTTTTTAACTTCCACAACGTTGTTTTCCTTCTGTTAGTCTTCATTCCATGACAATTGCTGCTTTTTTTTCTACAGCAGCTGGTGACCTTGGAAGGAGTATCTGATGAAGACTGCGAAAAACCAACTAAGTATCACCCAATTTGGATTACTGCACTTGGAAGAGTTTGTTCTTCCACCTTTTGACTCATCTCCCCTCCCCCGCACCGCTTTCTATGGGATTGGACCAAAGTCCTCATGTCCATTAGATAACATCTAACTCTGGCGAAAAACGAAAAAACTATCAAAATGAAGCCTGTCAATGTTTATGTATTAGCTCTCCTCTACCTATAAGAACGCCTCAGATCAGTGAATTGTCCGTTCCTTAACCCTGCGCAGTTTGTGATTTCGTGGCAGCTTCTACGGCTCGCTTCCACGCTGAAATGTGCAGTATGGTCTAAAACCTGGAGATGGAGAGGGCGTGGCTATTCACATTATTTGAACGCGGCGACGGCTGCGCTTTTGGTAGAATATTACCCTTTTAGAAAAATTGAATATGTCTAGGCCAGCACAAGACAGGGCGAGTTGCCTTCAGCGGCAACATCCCACAAAAGTGCATCCTACACTTATTTCGAAGCATGCAGCCAGCCCTCCCCGTGTTCGGGATATGGAGCGTGCAATCGGTAAGCTTGCTCTTGGGATGCAGGTCTTTGGAAATATTATATTTATCCTTATCATGAGAAAATCATTGCTAACCTTCAATGATTCAGGTTCTAGAGTTGGAGGTTTCCTCGTCTTCTTGGGGTGGACAATTTGCTCTGAATTGTTAAAAATTTACCACGCAAAAGACTGGCAGCTTTTGCACCTGAAGACAAACATTCAGAGGCAAAAAAAGGAATGAAAAAACCAAATAATGGAAAATGAAGGACAAGCTACCTCCGACATGCACTGGTTCCTTGATAGGTTTCTTTTTCGGCTTCTTGTTAAGTGCAATGACTTTGCCTTTTTTCGCGACAACACCTTCCTTGAGCACCAATGGGCCATCAGAAAGATCCTTCAATTAATCTTCAGTAAGTCCTCACCAATGGGATTCGAACTCTTTTCGAGGCTCAGCTCAGCTTGGTGGGGGCACCACAGGCCACGCTACGAACATCTGTGGACTCTCGCGACCAATGCGGCTCAGTCGGAAATTTTCGCGGCTCCACAAAATTTACAGACCTGACCAAGTGAGACCTGTTGTGAACACGACAGGAGCTAGCTAAAGTGCAAAATGCCCCTCCAAGCCGAACAGCGCCGACTCCAACTTACCCGTTTCGAGAATTCTCTTCTTGTGTAGGACACGTGAATTAGGGAGTAGATAAAATAAAAGGTGTGGGCCACGATATAGCCGAGTAGCAATAACAACACTACTTTCCGCATAGCTTCGGAAATTGTAGTGATTAACCTGCATTAAAAATATAAGAAAAATTCTAAATCATGATAACTGTTGTTGAATAGACTCTCAGAAAAAAGCGCCACGCACAACATCCAATATCTTAGAATATTTAGAGTGGATTTCTATATATGTATATACCTTTTTTAAAAAATATTTCTGAATGACAGCTCAACAGCTTTGGAGTTCACTAGCTTGCCTGGGAGTTCACTACTGAATAAGGATGAAAGGAATAGAGCTTCTAGCTCCATTCCGGGGATACTCCATGCACTCTACTTCCACTGAGCGTCGCATGGACTTTTGATGCAATTTGACTCTCACGATGGGAGAGGTACAAGGCAGGCAGCCGATATATGGCAAAGTTTTCACCTCTCCAAATGAGTCTAGCACCAATCAGACGGTCCCAGATGGATGAAAGGCTTGACTGGCTTGAGAGGAAGCGACCCACGAATTGCCACCCAAACCATGCATGGAGTCATATACAGTCGATTCCGCTGCAAAAACTGGGGCGTGCCAGGGGTGGAATGGGTCTATCGCGTCTCGGCACGAAGGCGGCCAGAACTGATGATCCGGCGGCGACAACAGTTGGTTAGGGAACAAGCGTTGCCACCAAATCCAGCCCCTGAATCGCTCTCCATCGCTTACTCGCCAACCCCGCAGCTCTAGTTCTGCGCAAATTCCAAATCAGAAATGTGTTGTGTGTGATGTAGACCCAGAAATATTGACTTTTGAGTTGTTTCGCCCTAAGCCTTACTTATATGTAAAATTTTTTGCCTGCATTATGCCTTGACTGAAAACCACTGTTCATTCCACAAACCCCACTCATTGAACCTCTCTTTTTTTTCTAGGAGACACTGAGAAGTCCATTTTGAGACTTGGTGTTAGGTTGTGTAATTCCAGTCAAAAGTGGAACCACGTTACTAGTGAAAGCCGATGGCGAGCTTTGCACAGGAATCGTGCACCTGAATACCGCTATGACGCTTCCCGCTCCGCTTTGCATGGGCACCGGTCTCTAAGTGGATGTGCTACGAAATGCCTTTCTAACTAGAGAGCAATTAAATTCATGAGATTTATAGGCGTGACAATGATCTGCGCTTTGTGTTCTGTGCCTTGCCAAGTTAATTTCATGCGTTGTTGATCAAGACCTCATTTCGCTAGTTTTTGGCTGTTTAGCATGTCCTTTTTATCGCTTTCGCACCAGTGAGGACCTCTATTTTGACTTTCGATCTCCAGCGATCATCCACCATGTTCTTGCCTTCAAATGTCTTTTTCAGGAAGGATAGATGTATCAGCAGTTGACAGAACCCTTTTGCTCGCTCGCTAATTCTAATGGAAACAGCAGCCATCTTTGATGCGTGTTCAGCCTTTGCGATTTTCGCCACCAAGCCCTGGTTCCACAAATACATTGCACCTGCAACCAACCCCTGGTGACCAAAGGGCACAATGGCCACGCGTCATGGGAAATATTAGCGAGCGGTAAGGGGGGGGGCGGATGTCGGCAGTTCAACTCGAGACTGGAAAGGACAAAGCTTTTTAACGGGGAAGAGATTGAAAAAATATTCTCAAGTACTCAAATAAAATACTACCGTTGCAGGATATGATCAGTTGACTTGTTCTGGGAAGAACACTTCTCATATCTGTACCTAGAGGTGATCATAAGTGCACATTTCGGTCTAGACCTGGAAAGCGTGTGTGCAGCTGTGTGGATGCTAAGGCGCGTTAAGGGAATGTCGAGACAATGCAGCTTGTAAAGTAGGAGCACGGTACGGTAGCCAAACCTCGGATCGGATTCTCTCTTAGCGATCATCCTTCCACCCCACCGGTGTCCACCGACTAGCACCACAAAAAAAGAAAAAGAGGGGAGACACTCCTTTTTAGACGTCTCGAAAAAGAAAAAGCACAATGCTGATCCTATGTTCCCTTCTTTTATCCCAACCCTGTCGCGTCTTTCGAAAATCGCGGACAGCTTCGTCTAATTCGTGATCCAGATAAACCGGTATGCAAATGCCGTTTTGAAACCCGATGTGACACCAAATGATAATCTTTCCAATCAACTTTGCAAATCGCAAAACAGGAATTCCAGTGTTCTCAGTCGGAAAGATGAAAAAGAAGTGTTTAGTTGGCTATGTACAGTCTTCTTCACAGCGAATGAAGAGCGTGTCGGACGAGATGGGTTTGGTGCGGAAACCCGTTACCCACCAGATGTTGAAGAGAGCAAGCAACACGATTGTATCATGTCGTTAGTATCAGTCATTTCCCACTAACTGTTGCCGCTTAACCCCTTCAGCAACTTTTAAAGAACGGGTTGGCGCCGCGCCTCATCCATCCCTCCTGACACGCCCCTTCATCCGCAGCGAACAAGCCAGTAACACAATGAGAAGAAGAATTACGTGATCTCAAAGGGCGGTGTGATGCTAAGTTTGTTCTGGAGGCAGGATAGGTACCAATCATGTATAAGTTGTATATGTTACATGTGTGTTTTCTGTTGTACCAGTGTTGGCTAACGCACACTCTCGTGTGCACCACAGCGTAGTCCTCAGTGGACGAATTTGATAGCAGACATCAGGTCCTAAATAACTCACGCGAAAAACCAGCAG